AGAAGCTCAAGGTCATCCTTGACTACATAGGAAGTTCCAAGCCAGACTGGAGTACATAATACTCTGCCTCAACTGAAAAAAAAAAAAGAATTAGAATAAATGCTGACCGTACTGATGTAGCATAGAGATTTGGAGTAGGTGCTGGGGTGAGGGAATCTTGTTTTTTTACTCTATTGTTCCTGTATTGGGGAATTTTAAAAATATTTTGTTTATTATTTTTATTTTATGTGTATAAGTGTACTGCCTGCATGTGTGTGAGTGCACCTGTGTCGTGCAATGCTGCGGAGGTCAGACAAGGGCTTCAGATTCCCCTGGAACTGGAGTTAAGGATGGTTTGTAGCCTCCATGTGGGTGCTGGGAATCGAACCCGGGTCCTCTACAGGAGCAGTCAGTGCTCTTAACCGCTGAGCCATCTCTCCAGCCCCTGTATTGGGGAATTTTTAAAGAGTGAAATGGAACCATGTACTACAATGAAATGTAAAAATGTTTAAATAATTAATTTTGAACATATAATATGTAGTTTAGGGCAAAAAGCCACTTTGACTGATTGGGGCATAACACGGAGGGACCAGATAGAGGCACCTGCCTAACTAGCCAACTTCATTAATGGGATCTGCTAATTGCGATCAGAATGGCAGCTCTGTGCTGTAGTTAATACTCTCCGAACAGTCTGATTACACTCAAATGTCTTGTGTTACTGCTTTTATGAATAAGTAAGTAGAATTCTTTTTGAACACATTCTGAGGTGTTTAACTGTATGCTAAGGATGATGAGCAACCATCATCTTTAGTCTTTTATCTTCCTCCCTAAATCCCCTTCTTTCCTAACACCTTCCTTCCTTGCCAGTTGGTATATGCCCCTCTGCTCAAAATTCACAGCCCCCAGGAGGCCAGGCTTAATTAACTCAGCTTTGTGGAGGAATCTTTCCCTAGCACCCCTTGCTGAGTGAGTTCCTGTGTTTGAGGACTTCATTTTGCACCTTCTTGAGGGTTGCTTGCTAATTGGTTTCTGTCATTTTTTTGCATACATGCTCTCTTAATTCATCTTCCAAAATAATAGACTTGTTCATGAGATGATGGAGAAAGCAGTGAAGTATATGGGCATTGAAGAGATACCTTAATTTTAAACTTTACTCTGACCTTTTGCTGGATATTTTTGAGAAAAAAAAATTTATACTCCTCAGGTTGTCCTCAAACTCAACATTCTTCTGCCTCAGCTTCCCGGTTGCTAGGGTTAGAGACACGCAGCACTAGCCCAACCGAAAAGTTATTGGAAGCTGCATTTTCTCACCTGTGGAAGTGACGGATGCTTCCTGTTTCACAGGACTGTTGGGGTAGTCATGTGACCTACATGTGAGGCATGTGGTGGAGCTTTGGGGACCAAGCATTAAGTGTGACACTTATTGTTCTTTGCCTCCTGACTCCAACCCACAGTATACATTATATGCTGACATCAGATGTTTATAATGGGGCTTAAGTCATAATTTGTTTGCTTATTTGGGTTGGATATTATGATGGTTTATATTGATCATCAATTAGAGAGAATGTAGAGTCACCTTAGAGATAAGCCTCTGGAAATGTCTGTAAAGGATTATCTTGATTAGATTAATTGAGGTGGGACCCTCTTCCCCCAAACATGGATGTAGCACCACTGTTCCCTAGACTGGTGTCCTGGACTGCATAGAAAGAAGAAAGTGAGATGAGCACCAGCAGTCACCTCTGTCTGCTTCCTGACTGTGGATGCCATGTGACCAGCTGCCTCTCCCTCCTGCTACCATGCCTTCCCCACCATTATAGACCGTATCCTCAAACTGTGAGCCTGAATAAACCCTTCTTTCCTTAAGCTGCTTTTGTGAGGTATTTTGTCAAGTATTCACAGCAACAGGACAAGTAACAAATACAAATGAAACTTCAGGACATTTGGGTTTCTAAAATAGAGACTGAGGGTTATAGTGTCAAATCCAACCCAAATCAACATTCAATATTACCCTGCTGCTATGAAAAATTTAATTGGAACATGTTTGTATCCAAAAGAGCTATTCCATGTTTTTCTAATTATTATGCTACTTTGGGGGCCAAGTCACCTTTTGCCTTGGCATTGCTTCTTACAACATATGTGTATTTGAGTGTATTCATTCATATGGTCACTTATTCAAAAATTTACAGAGTGCTGCTGTACTAAGCATGGCAGATACACGTGAAGAATGGACAAAAGTCTTCTGTACAGACAAATCGGAGAGATTCTTCATGTGTGACAGCCCTGAGGCATGAAAGAACAGGACTTATGTGGGAGTTACAGGTTTAGTGTAGGAAATGGTCTGAGATGCGATTAGATAGATAGGAAAGATAACTTGTACATCAGGCAAAGGAGTTGAGATTTGATTGTGCTAGCAGTGTGAATCTGCTGAAGAAACTGAGCAAGGAAATATCAAGGTCAGATTTAGATGTTACAAGGAAATTCTAGCCACTGAATACCAGTTGGATTGGAGGAGATAAAGTAGAGGGAGGGAGAAAAAGAAGGAGGCACCTGGAAAAATATGGTGTGAGATGATGAATGGCTGATTTGGGGTGTGAAAAGGGGGATTTAGAAAGTAGAGCATGGCATTTGATTGATATATTAGGTCTCTGTTGCTGTCATAGCAAAGGACCATGAACTTCATGACTTAGAACAATCCAAATTTATATCTCATAGTTCTCTAGATTGGAAATCTGATGTGGTTTCACTGACTAAATCCAAGACTTTGGAGACAATTTGTGTCCTTGCTCACTCATTATTGGCACAATTAAGTTATTCTCATGTGCAGAATTGAGGACCCCATTTTCTTGCTGGGTATCAGCTGGGCCCCAGGTCCATGTTGCAAGGGCTGCCTGCATTCCGAGGCTGATGGCGCCTACCTGATCCATCTTCAATGGCAGCAGGAGAGGGTGGAGTTTCTTTCATACTCATTCTGTCCTACCTACCTCTTGCTTTGTATGGATGTGTTCTTACGTGTGTGTGTGTGTGTGTGTGTGTGTGTGTGTGTGTGTCACACTTTCCTTTGAGCACTTTCTGTAGTGTGACTACACACACTCAGTGATTGAGACCTCAGTGCCTTCTTGAGCTGACTGCAAATTCTTCAAAGCAGTGGCTCACCTTAGGCCAGTTTTTGTGTGTGTGTGTGTGTGTGTGTGTGTGTGTGTGTGTGTGTACACCTGAGTGGGTATGCATGTCTGGATATGTATGTGTGGGTATAAATGTAGAAGCCAGAAGTCAACCTCATGTAGCTTTAGTGCTGACTGTGAGCATGGGAATATCTTTATAGAAACTGAGTTTTTGGTCCAAACTTCAGGCATCAAGTCTAGGCAGGCAAAGTTCAGGCTGCTTGCTGCTTCCCTTCAGATTCATCTGCATTGTGCATTGCTTTGGTGTATTTATAAACTTTATTCAAAGGAGAGCTGGTTATTGATCATCATGGACCTGCCACTCCCTTCATTCCTACATCAGGAGACTGTCTGCACACAGGATGCACAAAGAGAAAAGAATTCTACTTGGACATCATTGGTCAGAATTCAGTCATGTGGCCACATCTGACATCAAGGAACGCAGGAAATTGTAAACTTTGTTATGGTAGCAATGTGTCAAAGTAAAAACTGCACCATACAAACTGACAAGAGAAGAGATATTGCAAGACAAACTGTAATCACATTATTGGATGCATTTGTTATTTCTGATAGTTCTTATGGCTTTCCAGTCCACTGCCCATTGAAGCTGAGAATCTACATCTTTAGGAAACAGTTAGAATCCAGGTGAAAACCAAGATTAATATAATGGGCTTAAAATATACAGTCATAATTCAGGTGTGTAGAAACATTCTTGTATTTATTCATTGGCCTCAACTTGCCTGCCAGTCTCGATTCCATTAACACTAGGAGGAAGGTAATGTAGCCACTTCTGGGTGTGTGTGGCGGGGGGTGCACACGCCCAGACTAATGTGGAGGCCAGAAAAGGATGGTAGGTGTCTTCTGTTGCTTTCCACTTTATTTTCTGAAACAGGGTCTCTCACTGAACCTGGAGCTCAGTGTTTGAGTTGTATCCACCAGCCAGTGAGCTCCCAGGATCTTCCTGTCTCTGTCTCCCAATGCTGGGGGTATAGGCATGTGTGGCCATACCCAGCTTTTATATATGGGTTCTGGGGATTTGAACTCAGGTCTTCTTGTTTGCAAAGCAAACACTCTTACCCACTGAGCCATCTCCCCAACTCCACTTATATTTTAAAGTTGACTCTCTTTGAGGTAAATATTTGATAAATTTGGGACTCTTTCCTTCCCCTTTGGCTGCCTTCTCACCCAGAGATGGTCTGGTGAGACCTTACCCAAGGACCTTCCTGATGCTCTCTCTTCTCTTGGACCTGCTGCTTAATTCGACCTGGCTCCTGTCTGCCTCCTCTCGGGAACCTCTTAGAATCTGAGGCCTTGTTTTGAGGCTTTCACTTCCTCCACTGCCTATTGACGAGACTGGCACATAGGAAATAGTTAAAAATGTGACTGATGCAATCATGAGTGTGCTTTAGATGCGTCACATAATTAATTCAAATGGCACTATGATCAGAAAATCCTGCATAATTGAAAGTCCGTTTCTCTAAGACCCCTAGCACTATGCTTTAGCTTTCTTACAGCACCCATAATCCTCAGCTGTCAGTTACAGTGGTTTGTACATGCTGCCTGGCCGCTCACTAGAGCATCTGCTCTTGAACAATGCCCTTGTTCTGTGTGATTCTCCCTAATGCTGAGAAGGCTGGGGATATAGTAGCCTTCAGTCAGTGAAAATAAGTGACCACAGAAGTGGGGTGGGGGGAAGGCTAGCGCTTTATAAATTACCACAAGGAGTGATTCCCACCCTGGAGGAAACAGAACAGATTTCATTCTAGCTAGTTAGAAGACACCAATAAACACAAGTTGATATTGTACCTTTTCCTGAACCTCAGTTTTTTAAAAAAGAAAAATATTGCTTTTGTTTTCCAGGAATCCTCCACCTACTTTATTGCACCCAGAAAAATGGTGTGAGGAATTCAACCACTTCATTTCACAGTGAGTATTTCTTCCACTGAAAAATGCCTATGCAGCAAGGCCTTGAACAGCAATTGCAGAAACCCCAGTTGTGGAATTTACCTGGTGCTAGTAGTGCGTGCTCACCTGGTATAACCCAGGATTCAGTCTAGTAAATGAAGAAGCTTCTGCAGAATCTGAAAAACAAGGAGTTCCAGTTGACTTGCTGTTATCATTCCTCATTATCATACGGGTCACCTGTATCTGGGAACCTACTCTATGTGCAGGGTGAAAAATCACTAACCTCTGTTTAATGAGGGAGGAGACACATTTAAAACTGACATCCACTCTGGAAGCAGAGAGACTCAAAAGGCTTGCAACAGGTTTGGCAACTGGGCATTGGGTTTTGTCTTAAGATCTTTGACACAGGAGCCAAGCTAAGGTTCCCTAGGTGGTGTGGGAACGAAGTAGATCTTTGGCCTGGAGCACCAGTGTGAGGTGCCCTAGTCAAGGCTTAAGGTCTCCAAAGAGCTGCTGAGAACTCGAAAATACTTCTGAATGGTGCGATACCCCTGGTGGGAAGTATGTCACCAGGCCAGACTTTCTGAGACTAAGAGAGCAGAACCAACAGAGACACCTAAAAGTAACACAGTGCTGAGATCATGGGTTCAGGGCCTGGTGTTGGCAGAGGACCATGCTGGTGCCAAATCTGTAGAAGGTGCTCTGTCAGCTGGAGGAGGCCCCAAGGTCCCAATCTAGGGCTGAGTGAGTGATGGAATGAAAATCTTGACCTGGAATTGCAAACTACTCTGGGTACTAGAACTGGGAACAGATGCCCCAATACTTAGAATTCCAAACAAGGGCTTCAGAGGTCATGGGAGGAGAAAGGAAACAATCAAAATAGCTGCTAAGTATGAGGTGGAAAGGAAAACACATTTTCCCCCTTATTTATGCATAAGTACAGCCTTAGCTTCCACAAAGTCTGGGTACCAAACCAATCTAGATCATCTTCCTTAATCAGTTTAGATCTACAATCCTCATCTACAATCCCTAAATCCAAAGAGTTCTGAAAATAGAAATTATTTTGTTGTTTAGTCATTGAGCAGCAAAACTTCACCTTACTTGAACCCATGTGGGGGTAATTCATGACCTGCACTGATGAGTGGCTATTTATAGTCATTATCCTTCTTAGGGTGAATATTCATGTGTTTCAATGCAGATATATTCCCGTTTGATGATCGTGTGCTGCCCTAGACACTTCTGGGATGTTATATAATATGTAACAAATGTACATGTTTAGCTATCTAAAATTTGATGAAATTTAGACTTCTAAACATGCTTGACCCCAAAGGAGTATAAGAGCTGTGAATTTGTATTTCATTTCCATTGCAAATGTCTATAGCTCAGGGCCCCTGAAATTGTTTACCCATCCAGCCCCTCCTGGACTTGTGCCATGTTCCTCAGGGCAGAACTTGGTGGGAGGTGGGGGGAATTCAGAGAAGTCTAACAAGAGAGGTTGTGTTGAAATGTAACCATGAAGCTCAGGGACAGGGCAGGAAGGCATGTCCTGGCCCCCTCAGTCCTGCTTTGGCATTTTTTCCCTAACTGCAGAATGCATGGGGGCAGCCACAGGTGACAGTGGCTGGCTGTAATGAGATCAACAGACACTTGCAGGGTGGGTGGTACTCACTTGGGAACAGAGGAAGGACCACTTCCTGAGAGCTGGGAGCCCCAGGAAGAAGTGGACAGAACTGAGGAACTAAAGATACTCCAGTGGCTGAGGACCACCCCAGAGAGAGAAATCTTTCTGAATTTAGAGTTTCTTTTTCATTCCATTGCTGCACAGATACACTTGAATGACCTTCTTTAAGGTTAGCCTAGAAAAAAATCCATTGCATATTCACAATACATCTTCCCATCCCATGATGCCTCTAAGATGTGATTTGACTCACAAGTTCAGCTTGTATTTTTTTCAAGAGCATGTTTTATATTCTTAAACCAGCACAGTACTGTTTAAGTGGATTTGAGGGTGAAGGTACACTGTTGGTGGCAGGTGAAAGCTTTTAGGGTTACGTGCAATATAGAAATTCCTCCCTACCATTGACATTTCCTTCTGATAAATCTTATTGCATGCTAATTCCAATCTGATTGTGTTTTCCAATTTTGGTAATTCCCAATATACTCATTCTAAGTTGCTTTAGACTTGGAAAGGTCTAGAACACTAGAAGGGAGGGCAAACACAAAAAAACAATGCCTTTGAGAATGCATGCATCGTGAGCAAAGCAAAAAGCATCTTTCTGCAAATATAGAGGGGAAGAGTCTGGAAAATTCTAATAAGTCAAGGAACCAAGGAAGTTAAGTGGAAATTGGGAGATTATGTGTTTTATCACTGACATGGAATATGGAAATATGTCGTCAATTTCTCTCTCTCTCCCTCCCTCTTTCCCTCCCTCTCTCCCTCCCTCTTTCCCTCCCTCTCTCCCTCCCTCTCTCCCTCCCTCCCTCCCTCCTTCCCTCCCTTTTTGGTACTAGAATTGAACTTGAGTCCTCATACATGCTAGGCAAGTGCTCTACCACTGAGCTATAGCCCTGGTCTTTGTTTTACTTTTTACTTTGAGAAAGGGTATCATTAAATTGCCCAGGCTAGCTGGAACTCACTTTGTACCCTAGGTTTTGAATTTGTGACCCTCTTGTCTCAGCCTTCCAAGTAGCTAGGCCTAGGTCACCAGTTCAACAATCTTCTCTTCCTTTAATGAGTTGCCTGATTTTCTCAGAACTGAAAATATTGCACATTATATGTGTTCCCAAGTTTATTTATTTTTTTAAGACAGGGTCTCACTATATAGCTCTGGCTAGCCTAGAACTGTAGTCCAGGCTGAACTCAAATTTATAGAGATGACCTGTCCCTGCTTTCTCAGTGCTGGGATTAAAGGTGTGCATTGCCATGCCTGGATCCAAATTCTCTCTCTCTCTCTCTCTCTCTCTCTCTCTCTCTCTCTCTTTCTTTCTTTTTCTTCTTTCCTTCTTTCTTTCCTGCCTTCCTGCTTTCTTTCTTTCTTTTTCTCTCTCTCTTTCTCTCTTTCTGTCTTTTTGAGACAGGGTCTCCCTGTAGCCCCAGCTGTCCTGTAACTCACTATGTAGACCAGCCTGACCTTGAACTCGCAAAGAGATCCTCCTGCCTCTGCTTCCTGAGTGCTGGGATTAAAAGTGTGCGCCACCACACTCGGCCCAATCCTGACCACGTGCCTCCAATCCTGTTTCTACACAGCATCTTAGATTCTTTATCCATGAATTCTCCTTCACCAAATGTAATTTCATTACTTATTCAAATCTCCAATTAATTGTAAACAAACAATGACATACTCTGCATTTAAATATCTATTTAGAGAGCTTTGGTTTGTTTTTATATTTACTGTTGCATATTGGGAAAGAAGCATGGAGGATTAACACCTTTTCATTATTGAAGAGACTGGTTGAGAAAGACAATTATCTGATAGTTTTATGTTTTTTAAGTAAATACATTTATTTCTTTATTATTTATCTTTTGTGTGTGTCTGTGTGTTTTGCCTGCATGTGTGTAAGTGCAACTGTGCATACAATGCCCCTGGAGGCCAGAAGAGGGTATAGGATCCCTTGGAATTGGAGTTCTAGTTGTTAGCAGCCAGGTGGGTTCTGGGAACTGAACCCAGGTCCTCTGTAAGAGGAGCCAGTGCTCTTAACCTGAGCCATCTCTCCAGCCACAGCAAAATTGTTTTCAACATGAATTTTCCTATTTTTAGGAATAGGTCTGAAGATTGAAGACTGATTATTACATTTCATATCTTTAAAAGCTAGTGTGATGGTTACTGTCCTAGTTTGTTTCTCCATTGCTGTGACAAAACACTCTGACCAATATCAACTTGGAGAGGAAAGGGTTTATTTGGCTAATATCTCCTGGGTCACAGTTCAGGGAGCCCAAGGTAGGAACTCTGCAGGAACCTGGAGGCAGAAGCTGGGGCACAGGCCACGGAAGATCAGAGGATCACTGCTTACTGACTTCCTCCTCTGTACCCTGCTCAGTGGCTTTCTTATGCAGCACAGGCCCACCTGCCCGGGGTGGTACCACCCACAATGGACTGGGCCCTCCCACATCACACAACAATCAAGATGCCTCACAGGCATGGCCACAGGCCAGTTCAATGGAAGCAATTCCCTAATTGAGGCCTCTTCAACCCAGGTGTGTCAAGTTGACACTAAAGCTATCCAGCACAGTTAGCTTTAATTGTTAACTTGACACAACCTAGAATCACCTGGGAAAAGTCTCAGTGAGGGATTCTCTATATTGGGTTGGCCTATGGGCATGTTTGTGTGAGTTTGTTAATTGACGTGGGCAGACCCAGCCTGTAGTGTGCAGTATCATTCCCTAGGCAGGGAATGTGTAAGAGGCAGCTGTGTAAGAGCAGAGAAACCCAGTTGAGCACAGACGAGCCAGTGAACATGCATGTGTTCATTCTGTTCTTGATTATGGGTGAGATGGGAGCAGTTCCCTCAAGCTCCTACCACTGTGACTTCCCTCACAATGATGGACTGTACCCTGACATTGTAAACAAAAATAAACCCTTTCTCCCCTAAGTTCTTTTTCGGCAACAATGGAAATGAAACTCAGAAACCTGCCAAATATTCCTCCCCTCCCCCCTTTTTTAGACAAAGTCTCATGTATCTGAGGCTGGCCTGAGACTTGATATGTAGCTAAGGAAAGCTTTGAATTTCTGATGCTCCTGCATCTGTTAGGGTCCTTGACTCGGTGGGTCTCTTCTGGAGAACAAATGCACGAGTATGGAGATGCAAAAATCAAGCAGAGTTTTATTAAACCAGCTAGCTGGGGCCGACCGTCCTTCCAAAACATGCAGGTCTGGTTAGAGCGATCGACCCTGAGGCAATTTCAGGTAAAGATTATATAGGCTCCCACAAC